CCAATACAGTGAAGCACTTGATGAAGTTACTACCACTGATGTGACTTTTACCGATGATAGGACATTTCCTGATGAAGCAGATGAACCCCACATGAAGCAGAAGCCAACGAGATGGATGTACAGAATTTACAAACACAAAATTACAATTCAACAAAGTCTCTTAACTTTACAGGACGTATCTTCTCCCGTTGGCTTCTGCTTCATGTGGGGTTCATCTGCTTCATCAGGAAATGTCCTATCATCGGTAAAAGTCACATCAGTGGTAGTAACTTCATCAAGTGCTTCACTGTATTGGTTGCTTGATACACACGACCTCAAGGTCTCCTACATAATATGGAGTATCCACCTTATTTTTGCTATGGGAAATTTTCTCACTGTCCCAGCAATTAGCACACACAAGCGAACCTTGCCTGTCTTCTGACCATTGGATACTAAACTGTTTCTCACTGCTGCACCACTGCATCCAGTGACTCGTAGAACCTTCACTTTCTTGTCCCCAACATAGCCTTCACGTATTGGCATATTATGATTTGTTGGCATCTCTTGATATTTGTCACAAGTTCCTATCACTATTGATCGATTTGCTAATTTGAGCAGACCATTAGTCGTGCACTGATCAATCACGTTTTATTGTATTGAACTGACAAGTAGTCTTGATCCTCTTTCTTCTGGCAGCAGTATACATAATGCCAGTCACTCTTTTCTTGTTTCTTACCAGCACTGTCTTTGGAAACGGCTCCAGCTGCTTTATGTTAAGGTTTCTGCTGTTGTTTGCTGGTAATGGACTTGCACTCTTTTGCAATGTGCCCCATTTTATAACAAACATGTCTTTTCCCTTCTGAACTTAAACTTCTTATATTTTCTATTCTTTGATGTTAGCCTCCTATCGGTTCAGGGATAAGTCTGGAGGCTCACACCGCTAAAAACCGAATTTCGATACTTATGCCCCCCAGTGGCACAGCGGAATGTCTGCGGACTTACAACGATAGAATCCGGGTTTCGATACCCGTGGTGGGCAGAGCACAGATAGCCCATTGTGTAGCTTTGTGCATAATTACAAACAAACAAACAAACGATGCTGAGGGTGGGCACAGATAGCCTACTGTGAAGCTTTGCGCATTAACAAAAAACTATAATTTTATCCTTCATATTCTATGTGAGCCAACCTAGTTTTTTACTTGCATCCACCTCTTTTATGTATAAGGACGTTGCCTATCTCGAATATTTAAGAATTTGTTTACTTTTTCTTTCAAATTTGATCAGTATCTCCAAATAATCGTATTTTATTGAATTGTTCTTAATTAATTTTTGTAGTATAATCTGGTGTCAATCCAAGAGAAAAATATATGAAAATACAATAATTATCACGATTTTTGTTCATTTGTTATTAATGAACAAAGCTACACAAAAGGCTATATGTGTTGTTACCCCCAGTGGGTATCAAAACTCGATTTTTAGCTCTTTTAGCCTCCAGACGTACTGTTGACCCGTCAGAGACAGTTATCGTGAAATTATTACAGATTTAATTTATTTTCACGAAGAAAAGAAAGAAAATCTGTAATACAGTGATTAAACAGTTGGTCTGGTCTATAATATCGAATAATAAATTAGACGGTATGTTACAACACTATTAACACAACTAAATTAATTTAGGTTACTATATGGTAGCTTCAAAAGTAGAGAAAAATGATATTGTTACGTCTCCGTTTTTTAATTAATTGATTTTCCGTAACTTCGTACCGACGAAACTTAAGCGACACAAGTTCTTTACTTAATAAAACTGGTTTATTCTTTCCGAATATAACTCTGCGATACACTTAATCTCAATACTCGCGCTAAAACAACACTGTAACAACGAACGTCAATAATACTTCCGACTGCAGTTCAATTCCTCACTATCTCTGACTGCACACACATTACCTTCCTTTTCGCGTCACGTTTTCCCCTCTTATATATATATACCAGCCTAACCTACTAGTAAATACTA